CTAGATATTGGTCACTCATCCTGAATTTGTTCACTCTTTTGAAACGCTTAGATATCATTTGTTATCAGCACTAGGTCCTCTATTCACTTCGTCACGAACTTTCTCGGTCTTTCTTCGAGAGCTCATCATAACTTATCTTCTCATCAAGGATCAATGCCCATCTGTTTTAGATCCATAAAGCAATCCAAAATGAGTTCCGCTGAAAAACTGGCGGCTGAATACGAGCAAGATGGAGGACCGGTATGTTTTAACATTTTCTTGCCGTAGCGATGCCATATGTTCTGCTTTACTGCTTTTGTAATAAATAAATGGCAGCTTTCTCAGCTTAGCGAAAAATGTGGCAGCAACGCTCAGATTATCTGTTCATTGGTTGAATAAGCTGCCAAAACCTTTTGCATGTTTGAATTATGAATTTTTATCTCGGCGTTTTGAATCATTTATGCGAAGAAAACGTCAAGCCCCATTCCAGGCCTCTTTCACTTTTGGAAAATTGTCTTTAACTCTTCCATTCTTTTAGTCATCTTTGTATACGTTAAAACTTGTTCTGCCAAAATGGGGAATGATAAAAATTCTTTGATACAAACAGATAGGCGGTTGGGAGGCGGGGGTTTGTGACCTAGTTAAGAATGATAAGAGAGCATGCGCACGGGAGAGACCCAGATGCGGGTGCGAGCACGGTCGCTTTTCCAGCCGCCTATCCCATTAAATCAAAGCGTTAAACACTTTGGAGTTTTTTTTTGGTGCAGTTACTTCGTGTGAAAACGTCCTCAAATGGTTTATACTCTCTTATCAGCATTAGAAGGCTGGACTGAAAATTTCTACTGCTCTAAGTAAAGTCTTCTTGTTCAGGATGCTCAGGAACTTTCGGGTGGAAAACGAACAAAAGCAGAGCGTGTTGAGCACAAACACACCAACCCTGGCGGCGACACTAGAAAAGTGGTACAAAATGCTCAAAATGGAGAGGCGAAGAGGCGAGAGCAGGCTTTGAACAAGTAAGGTGCGCCCGATAAAGGCATTGAACATAATTCGAAAATTACCTCAGATTATTTGCTATATAGAGCTTACCTGAAGAGATATCGCATCCTTTTTCAGCGATCAATAGAACTCGAATCGACTTCGCACCTCCTGTTCTACGGCTGTCGTCTATTCTTGTCCGGGATGTAACTATTCGGGGATTCAATTCATTTATTTTTGTCATAAGTGTTTTTTCTTTTATAGAAAAATAAGTTTTTTTT